CTATCAAAATGACAAAGTTGCATTCATAGACGATACAGTAATTAAATATCAAAAGGTCCTCCATACATTATGCCTGAGGTTGACACAAAGTGGTTTGCCACTGAAATTTTAAAAACAAACCCAAAGCAATTATTTTTGGTTGATACAATCTCAAAGATAAATTTTTAATAAATTCCTCACACATTCTCACATTTGCAGATAGTAGTAGTAAATGATTAATAACTATGGGAAAATATTTTCCAAGTCAAAGTTATATGACTCTTGAAAAACGTACAGCAGGTGACAGATTTATCACAAAGTAAAACTGGGAATAAGCGAAAAATATAATATGGGAAAATATCACAGATTTCCAAAATCTTTAATATTAACAATGTTAACACTGCATTTGAAAGAAAATTTTTAATACTAACATGTTAATTTGGGTTACTACATTGAGCTATTAGAAGGGTGAAGAAGGTGGGTGGAGGTGGCACAGACTTTAAATCCCAGCACTTGGGCAGCATGGACCTCCTGAGTTCAAGGCCAGCCTGGTTTATGAACTGAGTTCTAGGACAGCTAGGACTACTCAGGGAAACCTTGTCTTAAAAACAAAATGAACACTCACTCATCTCACTTATGTTTTTTCTTTTCCTCATAGTCAATTATTACACACACACACACACACACACACACACACACACACACACACACAATGGAGAAACCCTTACAAAACAAAAAGACGTTCTTGTTTTCTGAAGCTATGATGGCTTCAGAGGTATATCCAAACACAATAAAAATGGCACAGAGGAAATCCTGTTTTAGTTCACCTGGTGCTTGCTTGACCTCAAGGCCCTGCACCCACACAGAGAGCAAGGAGTGGTGGTAGTATGAGCCTATAACAACAATCACAGTGCTGGAGAGAGAGCCAATGGGAGGCATGGGACTCCCTGCTCAACAAGCCTATCCTAAGGGAGAACCCCAATCCCAAAGACAGACCCTGTTTCAAAAATAAAAGTTGGTAGCCCTAGAGGAACAACACCTAAGGCTGACTTCTGGCCTGTGCACATACGTAAACACTCCCCTCCCTGATAACACACACTGCAGGAAAAGTTACAGTACATTACAGGAAGAAGTTAGCAGGTTGAATTTGGTACCTGAAGTAAGAAAAAGTATCCCATAAGGTGAGCTACAGAACTGAAGATCAGGTTACACAAAACAGCTAGACTCACAGAGACACATACTACTCATTTTCTCTCATGCGAAACTTAGATTTACTTATCCCCCCCTAAAAAAAAAAAAAAAAAGGAAAGAAAGAAGACGGGCTATCTGAAAAGAGGGCAGTGACCGTGAGCGTGGCGAATATTTATGAGAATTCCATAATGAGGCCCAACATCTTTACCATGAATGTTGGTAACTTTTAAAAAGGTGCTTTGTGAAAATTTAACAGAAAACACTATTTAAAATGTTAAAACTTGAAAACTATTTTATATGAGGCAGCAGATGGTCCTCATAAGTCCAGAAGCGACTTGAAAGCACCCAGACCCGAGTGCCACATCATGCATGAAACACTACTGATTTCATTTACTCTTATCTGTCGTAAACACCCTCTCAATTAGTTTGCTGGAGCCTCTGAAAGTGATTATTCAACACTGTTCTGAGATCTCAAAAAGGCTCTCGGTATGATTTTGCATGCTCGGTGGCTTTGTTCTGCTCAGTCTGGTAAATATCAATAGTCTTACAGTCATCTCAATCTTAAATCTTATCCAACATGAACACCTTTCTAGAGGCCACAGGATTGTCCACTCTGGTCTCGGCCTTCACCAGTTCTGAGATTTAAGCAAGACAACACCTGCTCTGACAGCATCCCACAGATTATTCTCATTTAAATTTCTTTTGTCTTATTCTCAGTGATGTAACAGGTTCTTAAGAATTTTACCAATTAAAATGCTCCTCAAGTGAACATTTCAGAAGTAGCAAACACAGTAAGGAAACAAGTTCTTTGAGAATTAAAATTAAATTTTATGCATGCCTTACTGTATAATTATTTTAAATTTTAATATATATTAGTTATATATAAATAATAACACATTTAATTATGAGATTTTCATGCATGCAAAGTATGGGTTCCCTATCACATCACCCCCATTGCTATTTGTCTCCCACTCCTGCTGAACTGTGGCTGACAGCACGCTGGCTACACAGGTCGAGAGTAAAGGCAGATCCTCAGAACATGCGGGCTTGTCACTAATGGAGTTACATCACTTGAAGGAAGGGCTTTGTTCCATGTGTGTTGACGTTGATTAAATGAGAGCTCAGGATTAACTGTGACAATTAGGAAGCTTTACTTACTCATCACAAAACGTGTGCCCTCACACTACCTTTGGCCCCGTGTAAAAAACTGCTGCTAGTAGGTTTTCTCTCTTCAGCGTGGTGTTTCTGTTGATGTTTTCATTTATATTTTGAAATAATAGTTCAGAATTATTTTAAAATCTGTTTTAAATCAAGTAGCATTACCTGATAGTAAGATTTTTCTTCTAATTTAATGTTTTTAGCTCACAATAATATACTAATATAAAAATGAATAAAACATAACAACTAGGACTCAGCATAGTAAACTATATGTTCCCATGTCACACATCTCAGCAGAAGAGAACTGAAGACTGGGATTAGCAGTCCTTGGACCACGAGCCCTTAGCAGAGGGCTGAGGAAGCTGGTACTCACACCTTGTTTTCAACAAAACTGAAAATAACACACTGCCATTACTTCAAGGTAGACAAGACTGAGCATCCAAAGTCTACACTCAACTTTTAAAAGAAAAAAAAAGTAACAAATACAGGTCCTAAGAGCAAGGCATATGTATATATAGAACTCTGAAGCCACTACTACTAAAGCTACAGAAGAAAATCACATGTTTTAGAATTTCTATGTTTAAGTTAGCAGTACCCAGAGACGATGAAAGCCAGTTACTAAAAGATTTACTGCTTGGTTAAAATTCAGTTTACAATTCAAAGGCATTTTAAAATCTCTGTGCTGTTATGAAGCTTTATGGAGTTTACAATGGAGATGAAAACAGAAATAAAAAGATCTGACAAACAGAAAATGCCGAAGATATTTCCAGCATTATCAGTATGAAGTTCTCTCCCACCATTACACTCTACCTTATTTCAACACGACTGTCTCAATTCCCCCAAAAGACAAATATGTTCCCTAGGGGCCTGTTCAAAATGTAAATGTTTTAAAATGTAACTGTTTGTGGAACAAAGATGAACAGGCTAGTTTTGTTTTACATATAGTTTATGTACATGGATGTTTTACCTGCATGTTTCTGTGCCATGTGTCTGATGCCCTCCAAGGCCAGAAGAGGGCACTAGATTCCCTGAAACTAGAGTTACAGGCAGCAGTAAGCCTCATGGACACTGAGAATTGAACATGGGTCTCCTGAAGAACAGCCAATGCTCGCTCTTCACTGCTGAACCCTCTCTCCACCTTCCTGTACAGTTTTTTAAAATCTCAAATGTAAACTCCACATGGGCAGGGATGATTTGAGTGAAAATGGTCCCCATAGACTATAGGAAGCAGCATTAGGACTGGCGTTATTTGGAGGAAGTATGTCACTAGGGGTGGGCTTTGAGGTTTTCAGATACTCAAGCCAGGTCCGGTGTCACTTGCTCTTCTTGCTGCCTGGGATCCAGATGTAAAACTCTCCAGTCCCATATCGACCTATACCTCACCATGCTTCCAGGCATGATAATGGACTAAACCTCTCAATTGCAAACCAACCCCAATTAAATGTTTTCCTTTATAAGAGTTGCCATAAATCATGGAGTCTCTTCATAGTAATAAAAATAGCATAGGCAGAAATTTTTAATTAATACTCATAAAACCTAGAATACTGTCTGGCTTATCATATATATCCAATAGATATTAATTAACAATTTGACAAGAACCTTTTATTTGAAGAACGAATACAAATTGTATTAAAACATTAGAAAGAGTTGGCAAGATGCACAGTGGGTAAAGAACACTTGCCCACAAGTCTAAATACTTGAATTTGATTGCTGGGACCCACGGTGGGCACACACATGCACACACATACACATGTGCACAAACCCTAACAACACACCAAACAAGCAAATAAGTAAATAAAATCTAAAAAGATTTCAAAACATTTGTATACAACTGTAACACTGGCAGCCTCAACTCTTACCTATCAAATCTTTTCTTTTCCCACCTATGCCTAACACAAAGGCCTCTTTAATGCTTCTTGGTAACCCACAGAGTGAGACCCACACAGTGAGTCCTGGGCTTTCACCTTTATTATTTCTGTGGACTATATGATACTTCCAGGTCCAAAACTTATTCAAATAATGAACTGTAACTATAGAAAGAAAACTTGAGCCTATAGGAAAGAATATTAAAACAAAATGAATTACAATTATTATAGAAATTATCACAAAAGAACTGACATAATTCTAGATTCTTCATAATTTTCTTACATCCTTTGAAATATGTTTTCTAGTTCTCTGTTCAGTACTATTTCATGTTATTCATAAACTTTTCTTTTCAAAGTCAAACTGAGATTTCATATAATAAGCTGAAGTATGCTTCTTAAATTTTATATCAGAAGAGTGAATTTACTTTAAAAGCATATTCTAAAAAATTCAGAGCTGCAAAATTGGCCGAAACACTGTTTATTTGAAAGCCCCAGTGCTTGATAAACTAATACTACAGTTTAAGTACCTCTGAGATCAAAATTGAAACGCACAGTGTCTTACCATGACGCTTGTCATTGTGCTTCACCTGTCCGTCCTTTGCAGAAAAATTTAAAAGTCATTAAACTTTTAATCTGGACAGGGTGATACATGCCTTTAATTCTAGTACTCCAGAGACAGAAGCAGACCAATCGCTATGAGTTCAAGGCCAGCCAAGTCTACAGAGTAAATTCCAGCACAGTACGACACCCAGAGATACAAAGAGAAACCCTGTCTCAAAAAACAAAACAAAAAGCGCTTTGACTTACTGTCAAGTTTCGATCCCAGATCTGTATGCTTCCATTCTGGCAGGCAGCTGCCACAAGGTTCCCATCTCTGCTGTAGGTGCACGTAGTGGGAATGACCTTTTTACCTTGCATTGTCCGTGGCTTAAAAACACTTTTTTGCTTCTTTGGATTTTCAACTTCCCAGAGCCTCACAGTCCTAAAAAGAAAGGAAACAATATCATTTATTAATAATAGCCTGACAAATCAGGCTCATAAATACCACTTTGTTTTCTAAGGACATTTTATACATTATAAGAAAGTCTTATTTATTAATATTCATAGAAAAAAGTATAGAATTACTTACACTCAATGCCCTACAAAGCAATGGACTCCAAGCTCTTGTGCATATCTTGATAAAGAGGCTACTACGCATAAGCCTCCTATTTAATGCACATTAATTTATAAATTATTCATAAGTATCAGTGAATTCCTCTATAGTAGACACTAGAAAATGCACTGAATAAGCAAACAAAACAAAAACAAAAATAAAATGCAAGCAAACAAAAAACCTCCTGTTCCACTCCAGGGTCCAGGCAAAAACCCCATGCCTCTGAGATATGAGGGGAGATAGAGCCCAGGCTTGAGGCAGGAGCATGGTAGACTACCCATACAGGGAAAGAAGCGCTGCCATGGAGGAGATTAAAAACCATGAGATACAGAAAACCAAAGATGAGCTTGACACTTTGTGGTAGAAGCTATGCACCAAAACACAAAGGGCACGCTCAAGTCTAGGGAGAAGAAAACCTAATAGTTTACGGCCAATGAAAATATAGTTAAAAAAACAACCTGAAATCAAGGCCTTTTCAAATAGATAACCCTGAGAGAAATGAGTGCTGATATGTGATACAAGATATGTCAAAGAAAGCTCTTAAAAGTTAAATTAAAAAACAAATAGAAGTCCAAACCTACACAAAGAAAAACTGAAGGCGAATATAAAAGACATTTTAAAAACTATTTAAATCTCTTTAAAAAAATCATATGGCTATGAAGCAAAATTAAAATAATATATTGTGAGGCTTATAAAACATACAGCAGCAATAGCACAGAGGTTGCAAAAGAAGAATAGAAGAGAGACTTTGAAAAGTTAAAGATGTCGTTCATAAATCCCACCACAATACCACAATCACTAACACATTTATACAAAACATATGTGACAGTGGAGATAAAATGCATGTAAATGTTACTTCTGCTAGAGCTGAGTAAAGCCAGTGAGAATGACGAGGTCAGCATACACTACTGAGTGCACACGGCACGGACATGCGCATCACAAACGAAAGACGCCCTCTCCATAGAGCTCCACAACGCTCTCAGTCTTTCAGGAACAAATTTACAAAAGCAAACCAGACAGACGGGTGAGCAAGGCTACAGCTTGCTGCACTGCTTAGCAGTGCGTGCCTCTTGATTTTATTTTAATCCTATTCTCAGGTCAGAACCCCAGAGATGGACTTGGGGGGACACCTGTATCTTATTGTCTTTCTTCCCAAAGTAGCCATTGAGTCAATCTGCCTTTAGAGTATATAAACAAATAAGGAAATAAAGTTGACAGTTTAGATAAAGTAAACAGATTTTCCAGAAATAGGTAACAATCAAAGCTCACTTGAAAATTTTAAAAAAATCACTATTATTCATATGTTAATTCAATATATTATTAAATACTGATATATTTATATGATATATATGTAAAAAGCAGAATGTGTAATTTAAAACTTCCCCACTAGCTGAGTGTGGTGGCTCATGCCTATAATCACCCAGCACTCAGAAGCTGAGGCAGGAGGCCTGCCACGAGTTCAAAACCAACCTGCACTAAAAAGTGAGATCTAGGTCAGTGTGAGCAAAAGTAAGACTCTACCCTGTCAACAGAAAAACAACCCAATGAGAAAACTCAAGACAATTTTGCTGTTGAAATCTTTCTAACAACCAAGGATGAAATACAAGTCACAATCTTAAATCTATAGGTCCGGAATCTGCAATACTACACAATCTAAAAATGTCTTGAAGTATATTTCTTTCAAAAACTGCTTAAAATGATCAAAACTCAGTTATTAGACTTCTCAACTCAGTGTGCCATCTTATTTTATGAATGTACTAGCTGCAAGTGGTGGTATACACCTGCAATCCCAGCATTCCGAAGGCAGAGACAGCAAAGTGCATGTTAGAAGCCAGCCTGAGCAAGACCCTGAAATAAAAAATAAAAAAAGAGGGGGTGAGGGGAGGGAAGGAAGGAAGGAAGGAAGGAAGGAAGGAAGGAAGGAAGGAAGGAAG